CTCGCTCGATACTTCTTCCACGAGGCGTACTCGTTGGTGTTGGCCAAGCCCACTGGCAACTTGCGTTCGTCCCGGTACAGCTTCCAAAAGCCAAAGGTCTGACGCTGCGGCATGGCGCCTTCGTGTCGGTAGATCTCGGCGACTGCGTCTTGGTCCGAGATGCTCACCGTGTACGCTTGGAACGGAAGAAAGCGGAGGCGGAAGATCGGCCCGAGCGACGCGTGGAGCTTGTGGAAGCGCTCAAAGAGCAGGCGGAACCCGTCGTTCCCGGCAAAGTAGGCGTAGCTGCTGCGCAATGGCCCAAAGCCTGTCTCGGGCGCGACGGGAATGTCACGCAGGCGCGGGGCAGCCTCGGCGGCGACAGCAGCCAAAGTCGACTTGAGGCGGGTGCGGAGCATTGAAAAGTGTGACCAGCACAGCCGAGAAGGTGACAAATGATAGGATGAGTGCGATCTGACAATTGGGTCAGGCTCTGGTACGTGTGCGAGCTTGATAGATAGTAAGCGTCTGTCGGCACCAGTCGTCCAACCAACCAAGCTACCTTCTTTAATACCGTTAAGAGAAGAGCCATCAAGAGCACAGGCGCGCTGTCTTGGTTGCGGGTCTGGTGGCAGGAATGACCCCAAAGATCTGTGTTGTTGCCGTAGAGGACGCATTTTCATTGGCCAGCGTCGGCGAATCAGATTCCTTGAATCCTTCGATCTTTCGACGAAGGCGCAGCAAGCGATGTCTCTCTTCGTGCGGTCTACAATCATAAATTGAGTCATTCCATTTATACACTAATCGTAGCGCTATCTGGTTGTTGAACACCCTACGCGTCTCAGATGCAGTCGTCTAGTCGTTTGTCAACGGACGACCACGTAACTATAGTACCCGTAGATTTCGAAAGTAGCAGAAATTCGAAGAGGTGGCAGTTACATGGTATCTTCCGCATTGCAGGTGCAGTAGGCTCAGTATTCGACATGCAGGAGCGCTCGGGGTGCAAGGTCCATCGCACCGCCACAGCTTCGATGCATTCATGCAGCCGAGAAGAAGCCGCCTTCATTGATCGCAATGGACCTCAGTGATAGCCTTCATACCGTCATTCAGCACTCTTGCGTGCTCTTGTGATCGATTCTCCTCCCATTACTAGCTGTCAAAAGCATTAAGTAGGCAGTGCCTGCGTCATGCTAGACGTTCAAGACACAAAATCGGTCGACGGCGAGCGCCAGGTACGCGTGGCGCACATGCATCGGTGTTGACGGGAGCGTCCAAAGAGCAGCAGGAAGCGCTGGTGTGCCCCACGGATGGCGCGCCATTGGGACGAGGTTGGGGTTGCAAGAAAGAGAGTACAGTGAACATGATGGGTATCATAACGGCACGACGAGGGTGCTGTCGAGCCAAGCCTCAAGGCGCGTGCTGCTAACAAGTACTAGTACGGACATATCGGGTGCGTCGATTTGCACTGACACCTTTTGAGCAAGCCCAGCCACCACGCCAGTGCGATCGTACGCATGGGATGATACCCCTTGGGGGTGGCGTGCAAGAGCCGCAAACGCACTTGGAGGCGAAACGTCACGCTGGTCGTGGCCGCAGTTTTGCGAGAAAAAGTGACTGCGTCGACCGGTACTGAGTCGCTTCAGCCATCGCAATCCAATCGGCAAAATGACGTCGAATTCCAGCCATTGAAGAAGATACGACGGCAACGCGGCTACAAGTACAGGGACCGTCGATACGGCAACACGCGCTTTCAAATGAGATAGTAATGTAAACCAAGTGCTGAGTTTAAGTCGCTAAAGTTAGCCCACACGCCGGCGCTTGTGTTTTGAAACGAACGCGGCGCCGATGGAGTCGACTAACAATGGTCTGCGCGCGTCTCCGTTGTGGAGGCTCAGACCGACTTCGTAGATGGCGCGTCCAGTGCCAACCCGTTCACGCTGCCGTCCGACGAGGAGGTTTTCCGCATGCGCGACGACGTCAAGCGCCGCAAGGACGAAGACCGCGAGCGCAACGCGCGGCTCAAGATCCACGAGAAGCTTACCAACTCGTCCAAGCGCGGCAACATTCGTCGGTTCAAATTCGACGACAGCGTCCGTCTCCTTGCTTTCTACGTGCGCACTAAGCATCGTGTAGGCGCCAGACATGGTCAATGTCGCCCAGTCCAAGCAGACGCGGGG